TTTGTTCGTGGAAAAAAAAATAGTCTCTTTTCGTGTTATTTCATTGCTCTAGCAATTGACTCGCAATAATTTTTTTATTTGTGTGTGTGTGTGTGTGTGTGTGTGTGTGTGTGTGTGTGTGTTATGACATACACAGATGACGTAAGTTCGAATCATATTGTCTGACGAGTAACTGTATTGGGTATTTACGGTCTGTCTCCTGGGATGTAGTTTACCTTTCAGTCTGGGCTGTCCTTGAAAGGCAAGGTCAAGTTGGCCACTTTATAAATTGAGTCGTACCCCCGGGGCAGTGATACTGACTGAAGTGTCTTTAGGCCATTCCCAAAAGGGGGGGGGGACATTAATCTGTTCTTTTGCGCAGTAACATTGTAAATTTGCTGATTCATCGATGTCATGCTCATAACTGTGCCTGAACTGCAACAGGAAACTGCTGCTTTTTTTCCGCTAATCCTTACTATCGTCCTTTTTCCTCTACTTTTTTGTATGTTCACTCTTGTGACCAGCTATTTCGGGGGTACATTGATAGTCGAAGCAGACTTTGTGCTGCTGAAGCTAAAGAGGTGAGCAGTCTAAGTCTGATTCCCTGTAATGACTTGTCGGTTGACATCCACCCCTTGGCGCCAATATGACTTTATGCAGTTACAAGTGCCATAAAACCTCTACTAAAACTAAAAATGGAGTCGATTTGGACCTAAAACATCGACAATACAAGAAGAGACGGGTGGTCGAATGAGCAGCAAGCCATTGTCTTTTTGTATTCAAAATTTAAAATAAACCAAAAAAGTGTTGGGTTTTTTTTTTACATTCAATCTACTGAAATTGTTCCATTATAAAATAAGTATCAATACAAACCTACTATGTCAAGTCTAATTCTAATTTACTTAGGAACCTGGAACAAAAAAACTTGGCTCCTTCTGCGCTATACATCCGTGAAAGTTTCCATGAATGATGAAATACGTCACTATGGTTATAGAAATGCTCATATTTGTCCCTATCGCTGTACCAAACATATTTTCCAACCAGCGTATGTAACTCTGTCGGGGGAATAGCACCACCGAAAAAAGTAGGCACTGCTATCTCCAGGTAGAATTTATATCTCGTAAAGATATTGAAAAAGAATATATAATCGAATTGCAAAGAGGCTGGGACGTAGAAAATATCCGAGGCTTCGTACAGAACGCAGGTCGTGCTGTTAGTTCGTGAGTGTAGTCTGGATAAGAAACTGGATACTTTCGTTCCGACAACAGGGTGTGACACTAAAGACTCCAGTCCGCGCAAGACAAAACCTGCAATCGGCTGCCCGACGTCGAAGTTCCAGGGTATCCAAGAGTCTCGTTTGTCTATGTCGGGGACGAAAGGAGCCCTGACGTCACCGATACGTAGACCTTGGAACCAGACCTTGTCGACGGGCATTTTCTGGGGATGGGACAGGTCGACATAATTAATTAGCTTTTGACTTGTCATAAAGCTCTAACTAAAGATGTATCCTTTTATCTTATCTTTTTCTGAAGGTTATGCATATTCAGTTAACATTTTCAAATTTTTCTTAAAGGCATGCTTCGACCTATAATAAAAGGAAAGCTTTTTTCTCAAGAATATCTAGTTTGGTTTTTTAAATTTATTCAGGACATAAATGGGGTATTAAACATGCTTTCCCTCAATGTTTCATTACAAAACAATAAGTAGTTAATGAACAAGAGTGTTTGTAGTGAACCCTATATATTATTATTTTGCTTGCGGCGGCTATTTTGAATACAGAATTTGCATACGCACATTTAACATTGTTGTAATGACCTAACAAACTTCTGTAGGATTCTGCTATCTTAGGTCGTAGAACAGTAGGCAGTTTGGCCACCGCACGACACAAATTCAAAATTCAAAAATGCCCTAACTTTAAAATTTTCTCTATTACACATGGACATAGTGTGATACACCCTTACGCCTTTTTCTTTGATTCCAAATGTATTAACTATATCTCTCCGTTGGAAGTGAAGAACTGAAGAGAGGGAAGTAGTACTTGGACTTTTTCTATGTGTACCGCCAAGGCATACTGCTGTAGTGGTCATTAAAACTGATGGGTCGCCGAAGAAGTGTTTTAAGTTTCAGCTAGAGTTTTACAGCATTCACAATGCAATTAGAGTATGTAAATGCCGAATGTTATAGGTATTTTAAGATAGTTATAAACACAAACAAGAAGGAAGATAGATAAGGAAGATAGACGTTTGACTGGAAAGGAGTAAACTACACCAGAGCTCCGACCGACAGCACACAATAATTAGAGTGTAACTAATCATCATCATCATCATCATCATCATCATCATCATCATCATCATCATCATCACCATTATCATCTTCCAGTGCCAGATCTGCGACAGACATCGGCGATCATGTTTCTCCATTCATTCCTTTGCTCGGATGCTCTGAAAAAAGCTACGTTTCTCTTATTTTTCCCTGTTACTGTTACCCATTTGTTAAGGTTCCCGTAATAGATTGTTCTGGACCTACCCGTGCCTCGTTTGTTTTCAATTTTTCCAGCGAGAGCTTGTTGTTCAAGTTTAACTAAAGCAAGTGTAAAAACGCGTGCATAAGTTATCAAAATCCGATTTTGTTAATTAAATGACAGTTGATGACGAGTAGTTTTTGTAAGGCCACTAACTGTTTCATTGTTGTCAATGACGTTAGCGTATAGAATTTAAAAATCGGAGAAGACTTGTACCCACGAAACAGTTCTTCCTTAGACGAGTTGGATTGCTTGTTCGCCTCCAAAAACTACCAGACAGTGAGGAGAAAAGTATCAACAGCAGTGGTCTTGAAAGGTACTTTTTTTTTGCTTTGAAAAAACTACTAAATCAAAAACTCCTAATATCAATACAGCTGTCGTCGTCTTTAAAGAGACCCTACCGGTAGGTTCCAGACGTTAAGTATGACGTCATCGCTCATCTGCAAGTAGCCATCAACGTCATAACCCATGCGCATGGCGATAGCCATACAGTCGTATCCTCTGGAATATGAAAGTAAAAAAAAAAGGTGGAACAATGGGGGGGGGA